CCGGACTACTACAAGTCTCTTGTCTGGATGCTCGACAACGACATCACGGACATCATCACTGAAACCTTTTCAGTTGAGGACGACGAGTTCGGCGTCACCCGGACTGTCGATCTGTGTCCCAACGGCCGCGACATTGCCGTCACCGAGGAGAACAAGCACGATTACGTGCGCTTGGTTGTGGAACACAAGCTTTTGTCGTCTGTTAAGGAGCAGATGGAACATTTCTTGAAGGGTAAGTCAAGATAGTCATGATGGGAACTGGGTTGCTTTGCTAACAATGATATCAGGATTCCATGATATCATCCCTGCAGATCTCATCTCCATCTTCAATGAGCAGGAGCTCGAGCTTCTGATCTCAGGCTTGCCCGACATCGATGTTGACGACTGGAAGAGCAACACAGAATACCACAACTACACTCCGTCATCACCACAGATCCAGTGGTTTTGGCGAGCGGTCCGCTCGTTTGACAAGGAAGAGCGAGCCAAGCTTTTACAGTTCGTCACGGGAACCAGTAAGGTGCCGCTGAACGGATTCAAAGAGCTCGAGGGTATGAACGGCGTCAACCGCTTCAACATTCATCGAGACTATGGCAACAAGGAGCGCCTTCCCAGTTCGCACACATGCTTCAACCGTAAGTTGTCCTCTTGTACACTCAGCGGCGCTCGAGCTAACGTATCGATGCAGAACTTGACCTCCCCGAGTACGAGAGTTATGAGATGCTTCGGCAGCAGCTCATGAAGGCCATTACAGCGGGAAGCGACTACTTCGGCTTTGCATAAGATGGGAGCGCGCACACATAGATACATGGCTTTGCAGTTTGTCAGCATTTGCATTACGGAGGGCAGGCGACACGGGACACGACAATTGGGTGGATGGATGACTTGTGATGTTCGAGTGGAAGTGCATCTTTATCAGATGCCGGACCACGTATACATATGGCAGTCTTTGCGGCTGCGGTTCAGACCGGAGAGGCCTAGGTCTGAATTCGTTTGTAGCTTCTTTTTTCCCTTTCCCTTTTGTTTTCGGGTGTTTGGGCAGTTCAACACGAGATGACACTGGTTCGGTTCTTGGCGGAGTGCAGGCCGCTTAGAGCCACAACCTGTTGTTTATCCTGCAAGTAGCCCAGTATGTAGAGTGCCTAACAAGAAGCCTGTTAGACGGCATGCCAATAACAGCGGATCAGTGAACAAGACAAGTATCTTTTGAAAAAATATTAGAACTAAGGTAGTTCACACCGTCTCATCCACAGGCCATGGTTATTGGGTTGGCCCAGGGGTCGCTCAATTCCTGTCAATAAACCACTTCGATTGATTCCGAGGAGTCAATTCCATAATTGATCATCAGGTTGTAATAATTGCTGCTGCTGGCAAGCGAAGCTATCTCCGCTACATCTGTCGCGTCTGTAATTCAAGACGCCAGTTTTCCGACGACCTTGGTACCAGAGTCGGTTCCAGAACGCCTTGTGCTCGTAGTACCTTCGTAAATCTTCGGAGAAAGCCTTATGCCGAGTGGGCTAGCAATACACAACCCTCTCCTCCATACCCTCCCCACATAATGTAGAAAACCCACAAAGACAAGCCATAGAGAAGGGTATTTTGTTCCGCATTACTGAACTTCTTACCCACATGAGATTCTCTTTTTATGTGGAGCAGTGTTGCCTGTTTGTAGAAAACCCTTGAATACCGTTTTTTATTTTACCGTAGTACGCCTCCCTGAAAATGAAAGATAAGTGACCCATGCCATGCCATATGCAACCCTTGGCCGAAACTGACGCAAAACTGACGCAACAATCCTCTAGACCGGCACGTGGTTGAAGAGGTAGCTAACACTCTCACCGTTGTGGGTGCGTCGGATAGCCTCACCCAGGACCTGGCTGATGTCGATGACGCGCAGCTTGGGGCAGCGCTCGATCTTGTCTCCGAGAGGCACCGTGTTGGTGACGACGACGCGAGACAGACAGCTCTTGTTCAGCGTCTCGACTGCGTTGCCGCTCAGCACACCGTGAGTGACGATGGCGATCACTAAAAATGAAGTTAGCATGAGCTTCTGAGGTCGTACATCACAGGTGAAAACGTACCCTCACGAGCACCGCCAGTCTCGAGAGTCTCAGCGGCCCTGTTCGAATTGTTAGCAGTGCTTCCTGTCTCTTTACCGCAGTGTGTACAAACTTGGCGAGGGTGCCACAGGTGTCGGCCATGTCGTCTACCAGAATGGCAATCTTGTCCGTAACATCGCCGACAAGAATCATGCGGCCGACAACGTTAGGGCGCGGGCGCTCCTTGTGGATCAGCGCGAAGCCGGTCTCTAAGCGATCGGCAATACCGGTGGCACGCTTGGCGCCGCCTGCATCGGGGCTGACGATAACGCAGTCGTCAACGTTCATGTTGGATCGAATCCACTGCAGAACACTCGGCTCAGCGTAAAGGTTGTCGACGGGGATGTTGAAGAAACCCTGAATCTGTGAGGCGTGGAGGTCCATTGTGATTACGTGGTTCTGGTCGCGCGCTTGTCAGTCGATTATCATCTTTTAAAATTTCTCCGTCCTTCCTTGTGTAATAGACTTACGCAACCGGAAACCTGCAGCATGTTCGCGACGAGCTTTGCACTGATCGGGGCACGACTCTTATCCTTCTTGTCCTGTCGAGCGTAGGGGAAGCAAGCTGCATTCTGTCAGCAAGCACTCTTCCTCGATGTAGCGATTCCTTATAACTCGTCCGGGGAGACGGGGTGACCAACGGATGACGGCGGTAATGCGACGGGCAGAAGCAGTTCTGCAAGCGTGGACCATGATGAGCAGCTCCATGAGGCCGTCATTAATGTTGCCAGGCTCGCTGGATTGTACGATAAAGACATCCTCGTCACGGACGCTCTCGCCAATAGTGACACTGTAGATAAGTCAATATAACGGGCACTCAACTTTCAGAGCCCTGTTGAGCTGGGTGGGTTGTGCTTACCTGGTTTCCTGGTTCGAGTAGTTCAGGCTGGGATTGCGCAAAGCGGTCAGTCAATCGAAACCTTGCGTGGGTGCACCGGAAGAATGTGCAGAATCTTGAGAAGCAAGCTTACCTCATGGTTTTCGCAAGGGGAATGCCCAGTCTGCAAGCGGCGCATTCGCGCGTCAGCGCCCATTCGTTGCTATTCATCCGGAGCGAAGGGAGAAAAGAAAGGGTGATAAAAATAATAAAAAAAGACAGAAGAAGAGACAGAAGAAGAGACAGAAGAAGCAATCCGTCCATCTTCGTGGCTAAGCGTACCGCTGAGCGACCTTCTCGGACAATGCCCCATGGCTGCTGCCCTTGAGGAGCTTGATGTCGTTCGTCATATCCCCCATGAGGACGGTCGTTGTATGACGACTAAGGAAAAAAGAAGGAAATGAAAGTATTCGGGGAGGGGAGATCGGCCGAGTATAAAGGGCTGCTACGGCAGGCTAGGTAAGGTACGGTCGGGTTGCTTGGGCGAATCGAATTATAGCGCGGGGTCGCAATGGAGGGGTATAGCTATCGGCCAGTCACACACAACGCGGTCGGGAATCTGTCGGTAGTTTGGTGTGATAAGTGGCTCAGCCGAGAGAAGTAAGACAAAATGAGTTGTCAAGGTGTACGAATAGAATAATCGCGGTTGCTGCGAAAAAAGTCGTCCTTGTCCACTCATGAATTCACGTGTACTTGCAGCGGCTGGTACCGGAAACAGGAGGGAAGGAGGGAAAAAAAAACTTTGGCACCGTCATCGTTCCGCGATCGCTGAGAGGTTAAATGAATAATATGTGGAGACCGCCTCAGACATGGGATGGGTTCCGTGTGTCTGCTTCCATCGCCCAGGCCATGCATCCTACAGCTTCAGACTGCTGTATGCAACGGCGTAGGTCAGAAAATATCGAAGAATCGAATTCAGTCACACAGCTCCCTGTGACTTGTTGAGTATACGAATCAAATACCTCGAAATCCCCAGGCAAGCCTTAGTGTAGGACAATGAAAATCGGACACTCAGGTCAACTAGACCTGCAGCAATTGTTGATGGAGATAGTCGCTCTAAACCCCCATAAAGCGGTCTAGTGCATTTCACCCAGTACATATATAATAATATCACGGTACGTAAAACCCCAATACGCAGCACCTCTAACATGTGCCACATCTCAACGTCTTGACGCAGCAACTGCCGAATCTGACTTCACCCCAACCATAGCGCGCGGCCTTTGGGCTGGAACGTTGGCGATAACCTTAGCGGCGAGGATAGTACTGTTGAATGAGATCAGGCGGGTTTGCGGGCGAGCCACGCTGGATGGTAATAATAACTCTGATGAACCTACCGCGAAGGTCGTGACAGCTTCACGACGGGGTGACCAATTTGCCAGCCACGCGATAACCAGGAGGGTCGCATCGGTACAGATTAAGGCCATACAGTTATATTTGCACAGTAAAAGCACCGTGATGCACAATATAAGGTTTCTAGATAGAAATACCGTACTTTGGAATCTTGTAACTAAACCTCCCTATCTAAGGCAGAGGTTTCGGAGATGACCCCTAGATGCTATACCTAGTGCCCTCCACAGATTTACAGGGTCCAGTCGGGCCTGGACTGACGACAATGTCTCCGCCAGAGAGGCGGAAGGAAAGACCAGACCCTCTCAGCCCCCAGGCTAGAGAACGGGGCAAGCAAGTCGAAAGCGTCGTTTTAAGTGTTTGACTATATATATGGATGTGATAGTACTTACGGACTGTATCACAGAAGGGGCGTCCACGCAGCTTGCATGTCGGTTCATAGATTTTAAGTAATAAAAGGTCATCATAAACAAATTGCTGGTGGTATTCGCGTGTCAAGGATGCATTTCCATTTCGAATGCCCTATTACATTCGTGATGACTGAAGACTGGTGAGTTTTTGACCCAGTTCCACCCTTGTAATCCCGTCCACGCCTCGTAATGCAAGAAAACCAGAAGACCCGGAATAATCTTTCACTTTTTTCATTTTCCACCCCAAAAGACGCCCGCGAGCTAACACGCTTACTTGCGCATGGAAGAAGCACGGCGCTTGCGGAGCTCGGCCTTCTCGCTCTTGCGCTCGGCGACGCGCTTGGCAAGGATCTGGGCGTATTCGTTCTGATATAAGGAGTTAGCATCAAGAAATTCGGGCTTTCAATTAGCAGGGGGGAAGGGGACGTACGGCCTCGTCCTTGACCTTCTCGGCCTGGCGGCGCTTGAGGGCAAGGCGGTGACGCTTGTGCTGGAGACGCTGGGGGGTGACGAGTCTCTGGATTTTAGGAGCCTTGGTGTAAGGCTTCTTGCCCTCGCCCTTGGGCTGGACCTCGCGGCGAATGACGTACTTGCGGACCTATTGATTGCAGCAAGATTGCCGTATTAGCCACTTCGGTCGCTTCATGTTTCGGTTCTTCACGTATAGCCTGGCACGCATTACCCCTCTCTTTCCTTGTTACGGCTCATCTGGTGCACTTGAATCAAGGCTTCAACAGATGAGTCTGACGAAAAAAGGGCAAAGAGGGGAAACACGGTCCCTTCTCTCACACTCTACCTGATCTGCTCGGTGTTCCTACGTCGCAGCACCAGGTAGGCGATGACGAAGTGGCTGTTGGGGTGCATCGCAACAGGGAGCACACATACATCGTCATCCTTGGTGAGGCCGAAGAACTTGCGGATCTTGGTGGCGCGCTTGGGGCCGAGGCGCTTGGGGTGGACGACGTCGGTGAGGCCGGGGATGTCGTTCTCGCCCTGCTTGACGATGGAGAGGGCAAGGACAGAGAGATCCATGCCGACGATGCAGCCACGGACGGACTTGCGCTTGCGCTCACCGGTGCGGCGGGGGCGGTAGCAGGAGTGGCCCTCGGAAAGGAGGAGACGGACACGGGTAGGGTGCATGACACCCTGCTTCATCGGGAAACCCTGCTTGTCGTTACCGCCGGTGATGCGGAAGATGTAGCCCTTGAACTCGTCGCCGACAGAGTCACCGGGGACCTCAGCGCCCATCTAGCCCAAGTTGTCAGTATCTTGTTCGTGCCTCGATATCGAAGAAGAAAATCAGGTTGCCATCGGTTCGAGGATCTCGTTGTTCGTGCATCTCTCGTCTCCGGCGAACAGGGCTGGGGCGAACGTACGCGCTTCTCCATGAAGACACGGAGCTTGCGCTCATCCTCAATGTCGATGAGCTTCTGGCTGCCATTGGCAGGGTAGGAGATGTTCAACTGTGAACATTGTCAGCCTCAAAAATTCCCCCGCCGAAATTTTCCAACCGAGTGACAGCGACAGCATTCAAATAATCGCGTTGACGTGAAACGTGAAGCTTTTCGAATTCCATCGCAGCGCTCATAGTTGGAGATGATTTCATACCTTCATCTTGCCGGCGTTGGGTGGTGCAAGAGTTGTCGACTGCGGCTGGGCGTTGGGCGTGGGAATATTCAGTGGGAGGGAAGAGAGGGAAAAAAGCACCAAATTTCGAGATATGGATTTGTGTGGCTAGGGTTGCTTGGGACTGGCGTGCGAAAAACCCATACCTGGCCAATCAGAACCCGTTGGTCTAAAAAGATGTCGGCCAAATGTACCACCGACTGGCTCGTTTCGTTCGCTGTTTTTTCGTTGCTGGGGCCCGAAGCCCATCAGCTCACGTGCCTTGCTGTTCCCGCCAACGGCTTAGGATACGTACCTCTGCTCCAGTCCCATCTGTACCCTTAGGAACCTACCTATTTATGATTGTCATCTGGGTTCCACCTTTTTGTGGTTCATCTCACCGGTTATCTATGTACCCTCCAAAGCTTCAAGGCTACTTTTCCACTTCCCACGCGCTCCCCGTTACGTATTCGGGCTCAGTTAAACGTCATGGCATCTGTCAATATTTATCCCCCCAGGAAAGCACCCCCGGCCTCAGACAGCCTACTACCTCCCCTCATCACGACACCCTCCGGACTTGCACTGCTCGAGATGCAGGGAACTATCAACCTGCCCCCAGTCACTCTCAACGAAGACAACAGCCAATCTGAGCCAGAGTTTCCCATTGGGAAAGTCGTCTTCCCTGACTATCACCCAGACACCCTAGACGGCAGTACGGCATGGATGAAACGCGTCTTCCTTTACGTTGGCCAGCACCAGAGGCTTCACGGCGAAGTCAAGAAGCTCCCCAAGGCCATGGCTATCATTCGGCGGAGGGGAGAGACAACTTCCGGCAAGGATGGCGAGAAGGAGGAGGAGCTCGAAGTCGCCGAGGTCGTCAAGTACAAAATTATGTTCGGAAACCGACCTGAGCCAGTTAGCACGGAGGTCTCGTAGGAGAGCGTGCCGTCTATCCTGGCTCGGGTACGCCGAGGCGTTCACTGATCAAACACCAAAATCAAGAGGCACCTGTTCTCCCCATCGGCGCAAGGGTACACGGATCTTGAGCGCCGACATTCCATGATACCAAACCCACGTTAGTGCAATACTAAGCATTGGCGACTATCTATTATAGGATCACTACTAGCACTCGTTTATCGCCCCCTGGACCATGGCAACGAACCTCGATCCATGCAGCGTCAGTACAAGTTAACTGACCACTAGGTTACAACACTCGACCAAACTCGACACACTCAAATCCTCTTTTCAGGGTTGCTTCTCTGACAAATTGCAGAGTATGCTTTCTGTACATTACGGATAAACAACCTCCGAAGCATTGCCTAACAACCTTGTTCATTCTCAACTCTCCCCAGGTCATTAAACAATCTGTTCCATTACAATTTGGGGGCGTGGACAGGAAATATTGGCAAAGAAAGCATCGATACCGTCATCAGCACGCAAAGGCCCTGCTTGGAAAGGTGCCTAGTGATATCCGGCTCAGAAGAATATTAGCTTTCCCTCGTCTGTAAGAAGGCATACATTTCTAAATATCCGACACTTCACTCATCAGACATCCAGAGCATAGCTGCATACTTCGTGCCAAGGCTTCGACCCTACGGGGCGGCCCAGACTTGGATCGCATCAACGGGCCACATATCTGGACCTCTTCCACCAGATTATTGTAGTTTTTTTGCGTCATTCCGCGGTCAGGCCTCGCCCCGCAGTTTGGGGATATACTTTGGCTGAGGAGAGGCTGGGATCCTAGCATAGCTCGCTCGTACGCCAGGATTCCACAACCCAGGCACCGAGAGCCATTCTCATTCAAGGGTTTTTGCATTATTGGCGTAACTGACCGCTTGGTTCCCTTGCAGTTGCTTTCCGGTGATACTCGTCAGCGATTGTCTTCTGAGGAAGCTGTATACGACGCCTTCAGCTTTCTACCGAAAAAATGGTGGCGGCCTTGGCAGGTCTTGGCAACAAACAATCGTCGTGAGATTGTCCACTCAAATCAACAAGCCGTAGTGTGATGCTCAGGGATTCCCCACATCTCCGCACCAACTTATGAGGGGGCCTTTGGAGAGCCGAAGAGGCTATTAGGTTAAAGTGTCCCCGATTACAAGTCTAATTTATCCGCAGACATCCTGATTGAACAGTTCCTTTTCCGCCCTAGCAGAAGATGGAGAAGCACCATGCCGCCGTCGACGACTGCAAGCTGTTAGCCGTGTTATTCGACCGCTAGTAGGAAACTGCCGGTTACCCTTCGGACGAACTCCTCGTTTGTCCCGGGTGTTCGAACGCCTTCTTTGCCTCCTCTCAGCTTCCATTATCCCAGCCTCTCCTTCGTCCTATTCATCCAGCCAACATGATGCTACCTGGCCTTGCAGGCCTTGGTCCCAAGACTCTGGGCTGTGCTTGTGCCGTAGGAATCTCTTCGCTTCGAGGACGTCACCCGGAGTGGTACCCGGCGCGCTAGCTCGGTTCATTGCATTGGAGCATCTGTAGATGGGCCCATGTCCCGTCGGCTGGGAATTCGCATGTAGCGATGGTGAAGTCGTATCGAGGTCGGGAACTTGCATATATGAATTGAATCGCCCTCCTGGCGGATTGCTTTCTTGTTGATCTCCGTTCTCACCCACACTTCCTATCTCGGGCACAAATAGGTCCTTTGAACTGTCGCCAGGAACCTGTGGGCAATCGGTCACGATGCATATCCAATCCCTCGCCGTGCCCCTACTGGCGGCGTCTCTTCCCCTCGCCTCTACCCAGCTCGACTACTACGCGAAGAAGGCTGGTCTGCTGTATTTTGGTGCTGCAACTGACACCCCAGGGCAGCGTGAGCGGGCCGGTCTGGAGGCATCTTACGAGCAGTACGATGCCATCCTCGACGACACCAACGAGTTCGGCCAAACAACCCCGACCAATGGCCAGAAGGTGAGTCTTTAACAGCACTTGCTGCCTTCGTCACTTGGCTCCGAAGCTGATCTCGTCTCCAGTGGCTCTTCACCGAACCCGAGCCAGGTGTCTTCAACTTCACCGAGGGCGACATCGTCACCTCCATCGCCGAGGAGAACGGCCAGCTCCTTCGCTGCCACGCCCTCGTCTGGTACAGCCAGCTCGCCCCCTGGGTGGAGACGACGGAGTGGACACCCGAGACGCTTACCGATGCAATTGTCCGCCACATCCATGAGGTGGCCGGGCATTACAAGGGCAAGTGCTACGCCTGGGACGTCGTTAACGAGGCCCTCAACGAGGACGGTACCTACCGCGAGTCCGTCTTTTACAACGTTCTCGGCGAGGAGTACCTCAAGCTGGCCTTCCGCACTGCGGCCGAGGTCGACCCGACGGCGAAGCTGTACTACAACGACTACAATCTCGAGTCCCTCGGCCCCAAGAGCGAGGGCGCTAGGCGCATCGTCAAGCTGCTCCAGGATGATGGTATCCGGGTCGACGGTGTCGGCATGCAGGCCCACCTGGTTGCCCATCGCGCGCCGAGTCTGGACCAACAAATTGCCGTCATTCGATCGTACGCCGAGCTTGGTGTTGAGGTTGCCCTGACGGAGCTGGATGTCCGCATCGAGCTCCCTGTCAATGAGACGAACCTCGAGTGGCAGAAGGAGGCTTACAAAAATGTAAGTGATCCGAAGCACTGCCCTCCTCAACTTCCTTTCGAAGGTGCTAACCATCACGTGTCCTAGGCTGTCGGTGCCTGCGTTCAGGTATCTGCCTGCGTCGGTGTTACTATCTGGGACTTCTACGACGCCTTCAGCTGGGTTCCTTACGTCTTTGAAGGTGAAGGCGCCGCCCTTCTCTGGTTTGACGACTTCAGCAAGCACCCTGCCTACTACGGTGTGCTCGAGGCGTTGAAGAACAAGACTGCTGCGCCGTGCAGGAGGAGACGGGCTCTTGACTCTGGCAAGAGCAAGAAGCTCTTCTAGATTTAAGGCCTTTGTGTCCTGCGGGAGACAGCCCCGTAACCTGTGGTGGTCGACCAGTTACCCGGGTCAGACCAAGTCCAACTTGGCGGCTGGTTACGTGTAAGGAATCGTAATTAAATACTGTAAATACGCAAAAGTGGCTTCTCGGGCAGATGGAAACCGCCGTCCATAGTGCCTACATGTTCTACAAAGATTCCGTGTTTTTTCCCAAACGTTTGCTTTTAGAGTGGAATATGCTTCCCGGTGTCCATTTCATGCTATCTCTGGGCGTCGATTTCCACAGCAGTGTCAGTGCAGCCTGGCCTCGCTCCAGAAGCGCAAGCAACGTACGTGACGGGGAATAATTTAGCTAGCACAAAATTAAGACACGGTTCGCGCTGTCCGAGTCACAGATTAGCTCCGCACTCTACGACATAAAGCGATCTTCTTAGCACGGCATTCACCCACAGTAACTGGAAAAGTCGACACTTCACCCAGGACCTCCGGGCGCAGGTACATATCGCCACTACGATTCCTCATGAACAGCACGACTCTGGAACGGCGCAGTCCGTGGCCGAAAAACGTCTCATGGTACTCGGCCGCATCCCCGGAACAGAAATGCAGCACCCTCGTATCCTCTGGAATAGAATATACTGGCACTGCCCCCGGACGGGGCCAACCTTCGTCGTCCAGAACCAGACCGTGCTCGGTCTCGATGATCAGTCGTGCCAAAGCACACATTCCTTCCCTCTCCCAGAGACTCTCACGAGGTGCCGCAAGGGTCCTCATCAGTCTCAGGGCCTTCAGCCTCAGATGCAGTACTCTGCACCGATGCGCGCAGAAGAAGAGAAGTGGTATAAAGCCCATCTCGAATGAGGGTCTCGGTTTGACGCCCCCTTTCTTTTCAAAGGCTACCGCCTCCACTGCGTCGTCTAAAATGCTGCGGAACTCGTCCTCGTAGCCGTCGTAGCCACTGTCGTCGCGGGAAAAAGCCTCGGAGCCCCAGACTAGGACGATGCGGTACTTGGCCAACATGAGCGCCCTCGCCACACTGGTTTTCTGCACCTTGGACCTGGCTTCAAGGTCCATCAACATAGCGTACCACTGTCTCGCTAGGCATAGAATCCCGTCTTGCTCCTTCAACAGACGAGGCAAGATCGGCTCGTAATGACTAGGTCCTATGCGGACTGAGAAGCCTTGCCGAATGAGTAGCATCGCTTGGTTCATAACGTCGTCCATCATATCCCCTGCTTCAGACTGATTTGAGAAGGACGACGACGGCGGCGGCGTGTATCGTGAGATGGTCAGGTCGAGCCCATCCGCCTCTTTGGACTTGAAAAAGAATGGCAGTGTAGTCAAGCGGCGGAACAGCGGCATCAGGTATTCTCTCACCCAATTTAGCGACGAAGGCTCGGGACCGGCGAGAATGGCAATGCCGTGGGTGCAGTGCCGCAAGGCCACATCCCGGTTGCCTTGTAAAACTTCTAAGCAGATAAAAAGGATGCAGACCAGCAGCACCAGGCCCGGATTCTGCATTTCCTTGAGCTCCTTGATCGCGGCGTTGTAATGCCGTAGGATGATGATACTGTTCTGGCGCCGATGGACCAGTGATCCGAGCGGGCTGTCCTCCTCCCGGACGATATCTTCGTAGAGGGAGCTGATGGCGATGATTGAGTGCCGGACCGCGGGCTCGTACTGGCTAAACTGCACGACGAGGTGCGTCCAGAAGTAAGGGTCGGTGGCGCCGGGCAGGTTCGGGCTAACCATGTTGCAAAAGTACTCCAGCGCCCTGCTCTCCTGCATGCCGGTGTCTGGGAACAGACTCGGCGGCTTCAGCAGCTGGAGCTGATGAGAAATAGGCTTGGCCAGGTCCGGATAGCCATCGCAAACGCGGCCGGTGCTCGAACATCGGAGGCAGTCCGGTTTGGCCTCGTCGCACTTGACCCTGCGAATTCTATCGATTTTGCCAGAGTCAGGGGGGGGGGGGGGGATGACGAATCGATCCGTGACATCACTACGTGAACTTACTTGCAAGTAAAACACCCGGTCCTCACTTTGCGTTTGCCTTTTCGGGCCATCCTTCGTCGGCAAGTGATTGTAAGGAATGTTTGGAAAAGTCCAACAGCGACGGCGACTCTGGTCTAGATTTTGTTCTTGGCCTATATGTAGCTGGTATGGCATTTCATTTAGATACTGAGTCAAGAAACCTAAGGCCGATTTGTGCCCTTGTAAGAGCTGCATCTCGCTACCCCCAACTTTAGCATCAGTGGAGCCTTGGCATTTCAACTCCGGTCCAGGTGACCATCGGAGCAGCGCCCAAGTCTGACACCCGCTGTGCTACTGGATCCAATCTGAGATTCCGGGACCTCGGACGTGGTGGGATTTCCAGGCATAAAACAAATGCAAACCAATTAAGTGCAAATACATAGGTAAGGGGCCGTTCTTGTGTCTGCCGACAAGCATCGAACCGAGGCATCCTCAACGGCTTTGTTATGGCAGCTTGAAGAGGAGGATCGGAGTTAGATTGACAAAGTCCAACGGCGACGGCCAGTCTTGTCAAGGTCTAGGATACTGTGCACTGGAGAAACGGCCGATTAACCCAGCTGTCTCTCTACCTTGCTGACGGGAGTCAGCCTTACATAGCTCTTTTCCCATGTAAGTGGCGTATAGTTAGCTCCAACGTAAGCATCCTCCACTGGTCCATCATACGTTTATCTTCGGCCGTGTCTTTGTCAGCTGCATGGGCTTATAGCGACGACCAAAATGGGAACAAGACAGCTCTCGACCCCACCCTCCAAGGTACGCAACCGTTGACATGTGTTGAGAAAGTTCATGTAAACCGGCGCGCCAAGCTGGCAAAGGTAGACACTCCCTGAAGCGACTGCTGCAGCATCCTGGTGATGGTGACAAGCACTTGTGCGACAGCGCCCAGCCGCAACTCCACCGCCATGTAAGCTTGCTACTTGATTTCTGAATCCGCCATCCCGGAAGACCCGGAGTCCTCCAAGACGCACGGGAGGCTAAATTGTGCATGTCCCCAAACATCCCATAGAGAACTCACATAGAGTGTAGCGACCACCTTCGTATGTGCTGTACTTGCAGCGCCCCGGCTGGTCCGCGCGAGGGGGGCTGTTCTTCGCCGTAAAGGCTGGACAGTCCCGTAGGGCTGGATGCCTGGCGTGTCGCCTAAGCTTGGCTGCATAGCGGACTTTGCCCGCTTTCGGCTCTGGATGCTGAACCCTTGAGTCTGTGAAATCACGAGCTATAATCATGTCAAGAAATACAGTGGTGAGGTACGGCGGACATGGTGTCGTGATCTTACGGATGACCTCGAGATATTGCCGAGCCGAGGAAGCTACGGACTCAAGAGACTCTCACGGCGGGGCATATATGTGTGAATTTGACGAATTTTGTACTCGTTCGAGTGTGGTATCATTGCGTGCTCCCATGTGTCTTCGTAAACTTGTGATCGCCAGTAAGACCCCTTCAAAACGCTGTCCTCAAGCATTAGCCTCCAGCTGAGCGGGCTTCGTTCGCCCCAGACCATCCTTTCCGTAGTAGTCCATAGGATACACCCCCTTGCCCCAGTCATCCCTGACCTCGAGTGCAACGAGTGCTTCGTATGGCGTCAGCAATGGCCGCGGGAAAGCGTACCCCCAATCGATGCTCAACCGCGGGCAGGCAACTTGCACCCAGCACTCCACATCGCCCATCATGGCCAACTTCCCCGGAAATATCTCGCTCAACAACAAGTTCACCCAGGGGATCCCGCGCTCCTTGAGACGCTTCTCGATGAGCCCCATCGTATGCGGGTTCCCCTGGCGGCCCAGCGAGCCGAGGATGAGACCCCATTTCCGCGCCATTTTGGCCGTCCGGATCGCCGTCCGCCGCAGGTCCTGCATCTCGTCGTGGCCGTACGTCTCGCGCGTCAGTTTGCGCGAGTACGGATCGTAGCGGTAGGCAGGTATGCTCGGGTTGTGGATCATGATGCTCTCAAGGTGGAAGCGGCCGTCGCCGAGATACAGGATCATGTCTACCTTATCGTCGTCCTTGAGCCGCGGGCTCGTGCAGCCCAGGATCTCGCCCTTGCTCAGCGGCGCGATCTGCGGCACGAGGACCTTGAATCCCGCCTTCTCTAGGGTGCCACGCACCCCGTGGATCGTGGCGTTGAACTGGATGGTGCCAACAATGGCGATGGTCTTACCCGAGGCGAAGTTGCGCTCGAGCGATGCGAGGAGGTGCGAGGTGTCGATGCTGATGTCGACGAAGACGTAGAGCGTCTTGATCTTAGTGACGTCGACGGGGATGAGGCAGCTGTGGGCGTAGTGCACCAGAAGGTCGCAGCCCATGGCGCGGGCGGTATAGTCGTCGATGCAACAGGCGCCATAGGTGACATCTCCCATGATCAGGGTCTCGATGCCTGGGCAGAACTCGGTGAGGATGTCCGAGATTGTAGTGGCGAAGAGGAGGAGGCCCTCAGGCATCTGAAGGGCGACCTTCTTGGCGCCAGAGGAGCGGATGCGGTGGATTGTCTTGGGGATCTCGAAGCTGTAGTTCGAGGGGAGAATGGAAATAGCAGACTTGAGTGCCGGGTCGTTAAGAATATCTGGAGGGACTTGATTCAGAAGACGAGGGCCTCTCTTTGGTTGTGCCACTATGAGGTGAGTGTGAGCATATAATCACTCCGTCATTTGAAAAGCGAGGCCGGAAAAAACAGGGAAGGGCAGCCTGACCTTGAATGGAGTTGCTATCCTCGATAGATCCATTTGAGCCTCCGCTCCTCGCCGTGGCCTCGGCCGCAGTTCTTCTACCTACAAAGCGCTTCTTCGGCTGCTTCATCACTGGCTGGGTTACCGCCTCCTCTTCGCGATGAGACGCCTCAATGTCGGCGGCTATGCCAAGATCCGTTTGCGCCCGATCCTCCTCCATTGCTGACGCTCGTCTTGATATTTTAAGGCCCTTGAAACAATGTATTTTTGATACAGGCCTAGATGTTGTGTCGAGCTCGCGGACGACTCTTGTATGAGGTAGATTCACGTTTGATGGGAGTTCTTGCGTGTCGCCTGCTGCTTGTGAGTAAGACCGCCCTGGGAATTGCCCCGCGACCGTAATCACTGCTAACTGAATTTTTCGCGGGGCAAGACGGGATGATAATATTGCTGACTAAGATCAAACATGCAAGTAACGAGGCATTTGAATGACTGCCTAATCATTGGCT